TTTTCAAGTGCTTGTGATTCATTGGAGGATTGACACACTTGGGAGGCCACAGTCTCACCTGCTTCTGTAGAGTTTTCTGGAGTGGTTTCAAAAGAACTGTCAGGAAAGTCCATGTGTGGAACAATGTGTTGAACCTCCTCAACCTGACCTAAAACGTGCTTATCTGACTGTGAAGGGGAGGGAGTCGTTGGGCCTGAGGTATTATTGTTGTAGGCAAAGTCCACGTTATTGACGGGGTCGTGCCTCAGAGGGTCATGCTGCTCAACAAACGCTGTGTTTGGCTGCTCATTAGAAGCAAGGCAGCTTTCGTTTTGTACGGTTTCTGTGTTTGCTTTTACCTTCTCCTCCTCTGCCTTGTCAGTGTCGTGAACAACAGTCTCTATGTGCTCCTCCGCAGTTTCCTCTGAGCTTATATTAATGCTCTGTCCCTCTCCAGTGGGAATAACAGCACCCTTTTGTTGTCCATCACCAGTAGGATCATGAACTTCTGACCTTTTAGCATCGGTATCCTGTTCCCTGATCTCCTGATCTCCCTTTCTTCTTGTAACCACCCTCCTGTAGGACTCAACTTCCTGTAGGACGCTCGAGACACTATTCCTTGGTGTCTTTCCTTTTCCATTAAGTTTTGACAACAAGCCATTTTGTTTCACAGAACCACGAGTGTGCCTGGGTCCTTTACCACTATGAACATTCTTGACTGTCCTCTTGCTGGGCTTGCTGTCAACAGTCCTCTGGGCCCCCTTTAGTGCTTGTTTTTTTTCTATGGCCTTCTTGATCTCACCACTGGCTTTGAGCGAGTTGACTGTTTGCCTCCTAGTCGTGGAAGCTTTCACCCTTCTAACATTTCGCTTTTTGGATGCACAAGATGACTTCTTGGGTGCTTTGGGAATATGAGGCATAGCTGAAGTAAGTGAGGGTGAGGGAGGAGGAGTTCAGGAAAGCCGGCATGGAAAAGAGTATGAAGATGACTCTGGACAACAGTACTTTTCAGATCTTTTAGGTAATGTTCCCAGTTTCAAGTAAGATCACACTGACATTTTTCCACTGTTGGCATATGGATGTATGGCTACCTGTGGAAAGGACAATTCGTTTATTGAATTACGTAGCCTCTGATTACATAAAATCATGCATGAAAATCTTGCAATCTTGACATTCAAATTGGGGATTGTGGCTTTTAGTGCATATTATTTATGGGCTTTGAAGCCATCTGGTGTGCTCCTCCATACACATTTAAAATGTACAGTCTTTCTCTTCTGGAAAACTGAAAAAAAAATATTGATGGGTGTGTTGCAATAAGCTACCTAGTTCAGTAATTACGGCACTGATGATCAGAGAACATTTATCTTTAACAAAGTTGTTCCTTTAACCGACATTGCATCACATTTTTGAAGTGTGAAATATAAATTGCACGAGCCAACTCAGTTATTCGGCATAAACGTGTGACAGCAGTAAACATAATCTAGCAAACCTTTATAATATTTTACGGCTGAAATGTGATGACATTTTACAACGAGAGTACGTTAGCATGTCGCTGGAAATAGAGTCATCAGTCTCAATATGTAGTTAGCCAGGATCCTTACCAATGCCCAAACTGATTCACCACCTAGAGAGCTGATTGAGATGCACCTGATGACACATTCTGCACTACGCAGATTTTTGTCCAATCAAATGCTCTCTAGAATGAGAATGCTCTTCCCCCTCATAGCACCTGCACAGACTAGCAAGTAAGAAATCATGAATTATGGCTGCGTGATGTAAAATAAAGAAAGACCTCTGCCTATTTAAAAAAGGATGATTCCATCAATATGTTTCAAATAAATACACAAACACAGTACAGAACAATGTGCTGGTCAAGCCATTAAAATTGGGTCATTCACTTCAAGCTAATCAAGTGTAACATGAAAGATACAGTAAATAGGTCATCTATAGATATCATGATGCCTGAAGTATGATATATTTTGATGACTGTGTATGCAGGTGCAAAGTATATGCTATATTACTCTGTCCTATATTAGGGAATATCCTCACTAGACTCCAAACACTAAATTCAGGGTGTAAATAAAGTAGGCTATATATGAATACATTTCAGTATGGGGGAAAAAAAAGCAAAATAGAGGATAGTATGAAATATAATGTTGGTATACTAAAGGATATATGCAACCTTTAAGTACAAATGTATTTAGCTCACAAATACCTCATCGATTGAATTGCTAATAAGACTAATTCTGATGCTTAGCGAAACGTCCCATAGTATTACATGGTTATTAAACAGTACCATAGTGTTAACAACAGCTTTTGGACATTGGAATGTTTCTTTTGACATATTCCATTACAGTAGCTGTTACCTTAAATATCATGGTAATCGTTTAGTACCATAATATGGTAATCATTGAGTACCACGGTACTTTTTGTAAGGGATAATCTAATTTACATATTCATTGTTTTCAACTGTTTGTTTTCATGTATCAACTCGGAATCTCCCTCAAGGGAATCAAGTTTCACTACCTGCCGTGAGTTAAATGGAAGCATAAATTAGGCAAGTGTGAGGTGTTTATATCCACAAAGTGGATCTAAAGACACAAGTTTACACACTGGCTGTGTTTAAAACCTAGTTAACTCCCTACCTACACAGCATTTTTGTGCGTCAGTCACAGACGAGTCACGCGCCTACGATTCCCAAAAATGCTGTCTAAGTAGGGAACTAACTAGGTTTTGAGATAGTGCTAGCCGTTGTGGCTGACTAATCGCTTTTAACGTCCTCACACGCTTATCTCTAACAACAGTTTGTTTCGTTTTCTATAAACTGCCCTACAAACTTTAAATCTGATACGAATCAAATAATAAAACAAGAGGGCTTTAATCCGTAGGCTGCTGCATTGTTATTAACACTTTGAAGGGAGTTGAAATACTTTACATACCGGAGAGACAGATGCACTGTCTGAAGGGCTAATAATATTCCCCGCCTGTACGACACGACCGATCCTTCCGCATTTCTCTTCGATGGATCTTCCCTAGGCACGAGTGAATAGTCTTCACAATATAACTGTGAACTGTGACACTGACATGCTGCCACAGAGACTAAAGCACCTGATAAAAGGCAAATCCTTCTTATGCCAATCCATTCACGGCAGCCCTCTGCCAGACTCGACCTGCACTCTCCAGTCAACTTCAGGATATTTAATGGACGTCGGCGTGAGGTGGCGGGAAAACCCGGACTGGATTTCTGTTCTCAACATAGACAATCTGTTCAGGAATCAAATCTATACATAGACATACAGTATATATGTATATCTATAATATTTATCTATAATAAAAAAATAAAAAAAACTCTCTGCTCTTTGCGCTTTAAGCTAACTGCTAAATGCGTGTACCACATTTCAAGATGACGTCAGTTTGGTTTCACTATGACATCGTCACTTCTTGACTCAACGATCAAACGGTCTGTGAATGACTCATGACATTACCTTTTCTGTACCTTTACAGTCTATGGTACTTACAGTGAGGCCCTACATTATCATAATTGTATTATTATTGTTCTTGTTGTTGTTTAATTATATTATTATTACAGAATTTCCATATACAGAAAACAAGTCAATAATGATCATCGTCATGATTAATATATTTTTTTATAATATTATTATAAAGGCACAACATTGTCCAGTGCATTTATATATAGACAACTTCAATAATATTTATGTACATCCATAATAATAATGATAGTAGTCGTAGTTAGTTTATTTTTTTATAAGTAGTTTATTTTATAAGTAAGTTTATTATATTATTCTATTACGCCATGTTCATATACAGACACTAGGCTTGTTTGAGATGAGCAAAATCTGCGCAGAACCGATCACCGGTGATCAGCGCGAGATGCATGCCGGTTAGAAATGTGTCCGAGTGCGGTCCGCCTTGCTCTGATGTCATGCTGACGTATGTCAAAAAACTCTCGCGACCGCAAGGCGCACGTGTCGGATTCTGCAGTTGCGCGCAGTTGCTCTTCACCGACTGCTCTGATCAAAAGCACGATGGGAAACGACTTGCTGACGACACAGCTTAATTGGTTCATTGGTTTAAACAACCGTGATGTATTGTTCTCTTTTAAAATGTTTGATTTTAAAACTCTGATATCATGTTTTATGTGTATAAATTATGTGTGGATATTCCAAAACTCTCTGACAGTGCGATCTATGTGATGTAATTTAAAAAATAAAATAAAAAATAAAAACTCATGTCTGTAAAGAAGAAATGATTGAAAAAAACACGTAGGCCTATTTAAAATGGAATTAAATAAGTACTTTGGGTGTCTTGTTCATTATATTTATTTTCATATAAAAGCAACAAAACTTAAATTATACATCCAGTTTATTAGCAACACCTGCACGGGCGTGAATCCTGCGATATCCGCCTTTGATCTCACAGGTGTCAGATCCACTGCGAGAAGAGCGATCTGTCCGGCTTGCCTGCGCTTTTTTCACTCCTCCTCTCACTGCAGCCGCCTACTCTCGACTACATTTCAGGCGAGGCAAGGCGCATCTCAAACAAGCCTAATAATTACTCAGAAAAGTTAATTCCTTTTTATTTAACAATGGAAAACTCACAATACGCAGTATTGCCAAAAAAATCATATAGAGACAATATTGTATCATAATAAATCTGCTAAATAAATGTAATGAAGTATCATTTGCAATGTAAACACAAAATAAATCGAATAGATGCGGGGCTGTCAGGGTGCTGTGCGTTGACACCATAGGTTGACACGCAGTTACGTGTTAATTCTGCGACAGGAAATGAATCAGTGAAGGACATGAAATGGACGAAACTGCAGACAAACACGTGAAAAAGAAAATGTATCATCGTGACTTGGTTTATGTTTTATGTAAGTACATAGTCTATATTCGTAGAATAGACGCATGGATCTAATCTAGAGCGAATAGTTTTGTTGTCGTAGACGTAGAGTGTTCACGCTGTGTTTGTAACAGGAAGAGCTGTCAGCTTCAGTTTCACACAGGTCCATATACAGTTGTGCAACCGATGACCTTGATTTTAGGCCGGATTTCTTTTTTTCTGTGTACAAGTATTCAGGTCAGAGCTGCTGAAGACGTTTCTATTTGTGAATCGGTGCAAAACTTCGTTGTAAATTGCATGGGGAGTGAAATCTGTGTAATATTATGGCTGGCTCATGGAATAAGCAACAGTAACCACAAGGTAACAATATGCAAAAACATCGTTATTGTGTATTTTAATATATTTCGAGTTGCTGCACGTTACGCAATATTATAAAATTTAGCCAAAGTTATGAAAACAAGCTGGCCAGACAACGAGGCTCTAAAAGAAAGTAGCAAAAAGTACCATGCAATCACCATCGGGTTTTGTACATTTACCATGGTATTTTTTTTATTTTTAAATCTGACGTACATGTATCATTCAGTACCATGGCCTGGTTTCACAGATAGCCAGCATTAGGCTTTAGTTCAATTGGGACATTTAAGTAGCTTAATAAACGTACCTTAGATCAAAACATTACTGGTGTGAATCTTGAGACAAAACAATAGCAGTGACACATTTTTTTTAGATGGGTCAGTGCAAGTTGCTTTCAGTTAAAACAGCTCAAACGTGCATTTTAGTCTCGGACTAGGCTTAAGCCTTTCTGTGAATAAGTTAGGAGCCAGAATAAATTGTTTGTATTATTTGTCTTTATATATAAGTATTTTTTTACAATAGTCAATAACAATACATTTTCATATGAAAATGCTCGAACGATTCTTATTAAGCCAAAATAAAATTCATTGTATGGTTTGCTTCTCAGCCCAACCTGTAACTCGTTCACTTATCCTGATGGCACCTGTACATGATTTGGTCTTTCTAGTTTAGATTTAGAGAACTGAATCTGTTAACATTTCCCCAAACCAGGTACTCATAAAGTAATACATTTACAACCCTGTCCAACTGTTTATGACTGATAAGACTTTCCTGTGCACTTAGTCCAGCCTGTGGCACAGATCAGCTGAGACATAATAATATCAATGCACATGTTTGTTTACCTCATTCCAGAGTGTGCTGAAGACATGAATATACTGCAGTCCTGATAGCAGCCATCATGACGACAGAGGCTGTGATCCCAGCTCCTGTGCAGAAAGACTACCACTATTGGTTGCGCTCTTTCACAGCTGGAGGTGACGTTTTAATTACAAAATATTGATGTACTAAAGAATGTACAATCAGCTGCTCTTGCATATCTTGAGCTATGGGAGTATGCATGCATAATAGTATTGGAGTTAAATTACTTGTATAGGCCATAAATGTGTGTTTTTCCACCCTTATTATTTTACTTTAAATAAATTGTGTAATTGTGTTTGCATTAATTTCTCAAGTCTTTTAAACCCCTTTAACATAACAAATTTTCTTGAAGTATCCCCTTGGATTTTAAGTTAATATTTCAATCATTTATCAAACCATTAGCATATATATGGTTCTCTGTTTTATGATTGTTTGGTCCCAGGCACTTTATATTAAGTGTCTTTAACTATGTATTAACATTTAAATTGATTATTGACTTATATTTTAAAAATACCTGCTTGTAATTTCAGCTGTAATTTAATTTCTGTCATTTCATCTATAATTGCACTGTTGACCCTTCCCCATCCTTAAACCTAACCAGACCACCAAACTTGTCCCTAACCAATACGCGTATCCCACCTCAATAGCAGCAAAAGTGTTTTGCAATACAACATGAACACAATAAGTACATTGTGCCTAACTATATTTTCAATGTAAGTACATGCATACATAAAGACACCTAATTTAAGGAGCTATGACACCGTTTTCAACCAAAAACTGAAAACTTTTTCTGCTTTTTGGCCGTTCATTTACACGACAATGGCGTTTTGGGGACCTGAAATTGCAAACTTTTGAGAATGGGGTTCAAAGTGCAAGTCTTAAAAAAAAAAAAAAAAAAGGTACTGTTTCATTTACTAAAAAGCGAATTTGTAAAACCGGTGACATCATGTGTATTGTGTGTTCAGTCTATAGGCGTGTAGTGTTTCTTTACAAAGTGACATCGCCAACTACTGGCCTGTCTGCATAATACAGCATTTTTTATCGTTTTCACATATCCAAGTGAATGGGGATCATTTTGATAACATTGTCGTCTGTATGCAATTATTTTATTAGTACATCATTGTAGTGTAAACATACACTCAATTGTGACCGATTGTTTTATTTTTAAGTTATTTATTTATGGATTAAACTTTAACTGATATTTTTGTGTTCACAAAGGTGTTGCAGGGTGCTGTGCCAAGTCCACCATAGCGCCTCTCGACAGAGTGAAAATATTACTGCAAGCTCAAAATCCGCATTACAAACACCTTGGTAAGTTAAACCCAAAATGTTTTTGATGGATAGATATTATTACAGCAGTTGGAACTTAGAATACAAATGCATTAGAATACGATTAACCGAATGGTTGAACATGTGATGCTTTTTGCAGGAGTGTTTGCCACACTTAAGGCTGTGCCAAAAAAAGAGGGTTTTCTTGGACTATACAAAGGAAATGGAGCTATGATGATCAGGATTTTCCCATATGGAGCCATTCAGTTTATGGCTTTTGATCACTACAAAAAGGTTTCTTTTGTCTCATAGTCATCATTTAGTAATGCCAACCAGTCTTGGGGAATAACAAACTAAACATAGTGACATTTACTAACTTAACAATATTTTTAGTAGCGTGACCGTTGTTCAAAATATTGTAGCTTTTCCAGTATTCATTTTGCGAGTTGTCACATTGTATAACACAAGTAGTGTAAAAATAGTAAATAATCAAACACAATCTCCTAAACTGTTCTCTCAAGTGAAGCACTAGTCTGCTTTATTTAAGAGATTCGGTTGATTCAGATGATTCATTTAAATAAACCGTTTCAAGAAAAGAATTCACAGATTTGTTTTAGAAGTTGAGGTAGTTTGTGTGGGATGTTTTGTTTTGGTATCAAAATTACTGTTTTATTTGTGTGTTTTTTTTTGGTTGTATCTATTGTAAATGTATCTGTACATTTCTTTCACCTTTTTTTTTTTTTAGTTGTTTTCACTGTAAACGCATCTATACAACTGGTTTGCATGGATCAATTACATCATCTGATGGTTATATGGTTTAAATTAAAACCTTGTGTGTAATGAAAAGCTTCAGTGTAGTTAACTACTTTTTGTTAGTAGTTATCTTTTTTTATTATTCTTTTTTTAACTTCATATTGTAAGTAGCTTGTACCTTGGAAAACTGGCTTTATGCACAGCTTCACTACTTCCTGAACTTCAGCCAGCCCTTTGTTTCCTGTCTTTCATTATTGGACAAACTGATTAATTCAGGTGTGCCTGGCCTCAGTAACAATAATCAGGCACACCTGGACTAATCAGTTTGTCCAATAATGACAGACAGGAAACAAAGGGCTGGCTGAAGTTCAGGAAGTAGTGAAGCTGTGCATAAAGCCCACTGCAGTTTCAAATGAGTTTACGAGTTTATAAAGCCGAATGCACACGGTAATGCTTGTAAAAAGCTGTTTCGGATGTACTTTCAGTTCCTTAACACACAACTTGGAATATCTGGGCACATTCATCGGCTTATGGCGGGCTCTATGGCAGGTTTGTGATTCTTTTCCATGACTCTTTCTCAAGGTCCTTGTTACTCCATGATGAGTGCTCTGTCTTTATTTCCATTGTATTCCTTCTGCAGGGATGACCGCAGTTATTTGCACCTATCCGCTCGATGTTATCCGAGCACGCTTAGCATTTCAAGTCACAGGAGAGCATCGATACACTGGCATACGAAACGCCTTTCAGACTATTTACCTTAAGGTATGAAGGGTGGAAAGGGGTTTAATTGAGAACCCATCTGTGCTTCCCTTTTGTGTGACAGTGTTTTATCTTTAAAGGAAGGAGGAATCTCTGGATTCTACTGGGGTCTGACCCCCACAATCATTGGCATGGCTCCATATGCAGGTTATTGTCTTGATTAATTTACGTGAAATGTACAGTACAATAGGCAAAACTGAGCCCACTTCTTCATGTCACGGTTTTCTCTATATTCCAGGCTTTTCCTTTTTTACTTTCGGTACATTGAAGACTCTGGGACTGACTCACTTTCCAGAGCTCTTAGGCAAGCCGACTCTTGACAACCCTGATGTTCTCGTGCTGAAGACTCACGTCAATCTGTTGTGTGGTGGAGTCGCCGGAGCAATTGCTCAAACTATATCGTATGTTTATTCTTTTAAATCCCTGGATTGTTAGTTATTGTTTGTAGTTGTCAGTTGTTTTTTTTACAGCTGTTCTTTAGTTTTAAGTTAAAGACCAAAACAAAATTGTGCAACATGTATACATTTGTGTTACTGTACATACATTCTACATTTTGTGTAGAACATTCTGGCTTAATATTTATGTGCAGATATCCACTAGATGTTGCCCGGAGGAGAATGCAGTTGGGTACATCACTGCCTGATTTTGATAAATGTCGGTGAGTATTTTAGGTTTTTGTTGCCTTAATGACTTACAGTGAGGTATTAATTTATTAATAGAGATGCATCGATAGTCAAATTTGGCTGATAATTAATTTTATATAATTTGATACCTGCGATAAAAATTCTGTACTTCTATACAAAAGTCTATAATTAAAATCCTAAAAGTGAATTTAGACATCACAACAATGTGAAGTACAGTGTGTGTGTGTATATATACATATAATAATAATAATAATAATAATAATTTAAATTAACTTTTCTATTTTTGAATTTATTTTAAAATGTAATTTAGTCCTGTGATCGCAAAGCTACATTTTTAGCAGCCATTACTCTATTCTTCAGTGTCCATACACACACAACAAACACACACACACTATATATATATGTATAATACATACACATACATATACATATAAATTATATATTTGTATATATATTATTTATTTGTTTGTGTGTTGCTAATATATCATGTTTTACGGTGTAGCAATTAGACCTCCACAGCTTGAACTCAGTTCTCACCAGCTTATATCTGTCATCACTAATATGTTTTTGCTTAATTCTTTTGAGCAGCAGCCTCACACAAACTCTGAAGTATGTGTACACCCAGTATGGCGTTAAGAGAGGACTGTATCGTGGCCTGTCCCTCAACTACATCCGCTGTATACCGTCACAAGCCGTTGCCTTCACCACTTATGAGTTCATGAAGCAATTTTTTCACCTAAACTAGAAAAAGCAGTGACTTGAAGCCCTAAAGGAACAAGTTGAAACGACCCCTGGCAACATCACAGCACCCCTGCCTGCCATTCCAGTCAGCAGTCATGTGAACTCCAGTTCTTACAAAACACCCACACAAATGGCAAACCTGTGGCTTCGCACACCCCAGCAACAGTCACTATGGATACAGAGACAAAAGCTTGCTTTTCCATTATGTGTGGATCAGGAACATGTCCCCTAACAACCGATACTGGAAATACCATAGACTTGCGTCTGAAACTTGCCTGTATGAAACTTGCCTGTATGAAGCCATCCCATCTCATATTGAACAATATGACTTAGCTTATCACTCATATACATTAAGCAAAACACATAATGACAGTAGATTTGACCTATGTGGACCGTTTCAATAGGCATATCACAGTGCTTTTAACTATGACTGATGATGACATAATTTTTTAATGTCAGAAACCTAAATATGGAAGTTGATTTTTCTTCGCTAAATTTGATTTATATGTAGCTTTTTATTTCAGTCACCTCAAGTCTTATTGGCTGATATTTGTCTCTTTTAGTGATCAATATGACTTACCTCTACAATTCAGTAATATAGCGAATGGGAGACAGTGTATGTAATGTCTATGCAGTATTCAGTCATGTTCGCATGCCGTCGTTACTGTGGCTCAAACTATATCTGATCGATGCCTTACAGTGCAGTTAAATTCACAATCCTTTTTGGAAGAGGGCAATCAAGTGAGAATGTGTGTGGTGATAAGCATATCACAGCTGAAATGTATATGAATCTGTTAAATTATTGTTCTGATTTGTGATGGGGAAAAATGGGTCCCTTAAATAAAATAATGACTTTGCCTTTCTATATGCACAGAAGTTTTATCAAATAATTATTTCTTGCCTCGGTTATGAATCTCTATTTACTATTATTATACAGTAAAATATTATATCCACTATATACTATTGTTATCCACTAAAATTAATTATTTTTAAAAATTGAAAATGTTTTTATATATATGTGTGTGTGTATATATATATACACACATACATACATATATAAAATGCCTTGTTTTGTTTTACCTATTTTTTTTTTTAAAGGGAAATGAGCACCCTCAAACTTGCATAATTTTCCTTCCTGTTGTAGTGTCTGTTGCCATGTGGTGGCAGTGTTTCAGTAATTCGAGTCCTAAAGCCTCTTTGAAATTGTGCTTTTGGGTTCATGTGCACTGATCGTTTTGCTGCATGTGTTTCCAAAGATAAAAGGGAACTCTTATGAATATATGTGCATATGAGTACATTCAACCGAGACTGATGCTATCGTTTTATGACAGATGGAATACATGTATGAGTAGCGAAGGCATGATTCAATTGTCACATTCAGGTTTATCTTCACCAAGTGTCGTAAGCTAAATCACTAGAATATAAGGTCTGTTCTTTTCTGATTCTTGAGAACTGAGTAGAAAGTTCATCTTGCTGCTTTGGATAAATCACCTTTATTTATTTGCGTCATTATGTATTATATTTGTATAATGAATGGATAGGCCTACTATGTCAGATTGAAATGGTATGCATTGAACAAATTAACATTTAAATAAATAAATATTAATTATTTTACATGAAACTAAAAGCTTTTAGTCTTGTGCTGGAGTTTCATCCCTTTCCAAACTTGACATCGAGTGAGATTTCCCTATCGTTCCCTAATTTATGACTGGAAATGCATTTACTATGGAATACCTCCCACGTAGCATTCGATTTGCATTTCCTCTTTTATTTGTAAGGAACTGTTGTTTGATAGCTTGTCTTATTTGACTGGAAAATATGTTATAAACAAAACACTGCTTATAGCAGATACGTCAATTACCGTCCAAGTAAAAAAAGAAAAGAAAAGTATAGAGCCCACTGTCATTTTTTCCCCCCTTCAGTTGGCTGTCTTGAAAAAAAAATATTATTCGAGAGCCATTAAAGCACTTTACAATCATTTAAAAGTTTGGGGTCAGTAAGATTAAAAAAAAAATTAGAATGCTGAAAAAAATCAATGTTTACACAAAAATATAAGGCAGCACAACTGTTTTTAAAATTGATACTAATAAATGATTATTGAGGAGCAAATCAGCATATTAGAATGATTTCTGAAGGATCATGTGATGAAGACTGGAGTAATGATGCTGACAGGAATAATACATTTTAAAATAGGCCTATATTAAAGTAGAATGCAGTTATCTTAAATTGATATAATATTTTACAATATTTCTGTTTTTTACTGTATTCTCTGATTAAATAAATGTATTTATTTTAGCACAAGAGACTTCTTTTAACAATATTAAAAAACATCCTACCAACCCCAAACGTTTGAACGGTAGGCTAACGTTAATATACATTTTATATATTAAATATATATTAAACATAAAAAACAGTTTTTATTGGTAGATTATTTAAATTTAAAAAAAAAGAAGAAAGAAATAAAATTATTTAGAAAAACTCCTCATTTTGGATGTTTTTTTCAGCAGTGACAGCTGGTAAACCGCAGGACAAAAAAAGAGTCAAATTAAAAGATAAGCGTGAAGTAACACCTAGCCTTTAAGATAAACGAGAACTAAAATATCTGATAAGCATGCCATGCCGGACTTGTGTAATATGTCGAGATGATTTAGAATAATTAATAAAGTGTGTGATGCAGTTCAGTTCACTTATACTTCTAAGTAACTTGGTTGAATCCTACCGCAAATCTAACCATGATCACATCTACATATTTCCGTGTGTGATAAGTGCGAAGTCAGTGGCTGGCTTGTGTGAGTCAGTTAAAGAGAGAATGGGAGAGAGAGGGGGGAGAGAAGAGGAAATGCAGTCTATGTGCGACTCTTGAAAAGTGCATTCGAGTTACTCGCCGAGCTCATCTGCAGCTTGACGATGCCCAACTACACAGTGACTATCGCCACTGGCACTCAGTGGTTTGCTGGAACAGATGACTACATTTACCTGACCCTGGTGGGATCTGAGGGATGCAGTGAGAGAACCCTCCTGGATAAACCCCTCTATAATGACTTTGAGAGAGGAGCGGTAAGAAACTAATGTATTACCTGCTATAAATATGCGGTAACACTTTATTTTACAATATGTTGCATGTAATTATGCATGTAATTACATGCAACTACCCTTACGAAAATTAACCACTACAAATAAAACCAGTTTGCTACACTAACCATAGCTTGACCATGGTATTTGTAGTAAACCTGTGGTTATAGAAATGGTAATCAATCTGCCAAAGAAACATGGTTACTACACTTTTACTATAATAAAACCGTGGTTAATTTTACCCTAGCCCTATATTAAATGTAAAATTATTTCGCTGTAACAAGAAAACCTTAAAATAAAGGGTTACACTTTATTTTAAGGTGTCTTTTTACACTGTAATTATACATTATGTACTGTATAATATTAATTACATATACTATAGGGATAGATTAGGGGTTGGTTAGGGTTAGTTGCATGTAATTATGCATAATTTATTTATTACTATGGTAACTACATGTAACATATTTAACAATAACACTGTAAAATAAAGTGTTGCCAAATATAGTGTAGCCCTATATCCAAAGATTATGTATAGCTATATATTAGACCTTTGAGATCCTTTTAAAGAGTTTGTTCCATTGTATCTGAATTATATTTAATGTATTGTGCAATTAAAAAATTGCATGGCAGAAATGAATTGCCTTTCTCTTCGTGAATTAAATGTGCAAACCTTTATTGGCTTTTTTATAGCTGGTATTCTTTCACGGCTGTTGATTAATTTAACTCAAAGCATATATAGACCACAAGTATTCTGATTAATAAGTGCTAGGAAAAAATAGGTGGATCAAAATGGAAATTGCTATTTTAAAAATGGCAGATCAAATTTTGGGAATGTTTTGTCCCATATTTAATGATTATGGCTTCATGACTAATCAAAAACAACCAAAATCTCTTCATAACAACACAACATCTTTATTGTCACAGTTAAAGTTTACTATTGCATGTGTCATTTGAAGACTTATATGTACTGTAAGACTGTCTTTTGAAACTATGCATGTCTTTTTTGAGCAACTGTTTTTAAATAACATCTTACATATGGTGTAATTCAAGGTGGACTCATATGACATCAGTGTCGGAGAGGACCTGGGTGAAATTGAGCTGTTGAAAATCGAAAAGAAGAAATACTGGGTGCACGATGACTGGTACTGCAAATATGTCACGGTGAAGACACCCTATGGAGATTACGTTGAGTTTCCCTGCTTTCGCTGGTTAGTTGATGACAAGGAGGTGGTCCTCCGAGATGGCAGGGGTAGGTTCTGATTGTCTGTGCACATTTTTTCCTGTAATAGAGCGCTAAACTTTATCATAATATAATGTTTCAATGTTTGCTGTGCTTCAGCTCGATTGCCACAGCATGACAAGACCGGATTGGCGAAACAACACAGGCACAAAGAACTAGAACAGAGACAGAAGACATACAGGTTTGGTGCAACTTTTAGAAAGAGGTTAACCGCTGTACTAGTTCTGGTCTCCAGGAAAAATGCTCTTTCCTCATAAATGCACATGTGGTTAAGTCTACGATTTCAACAGACCATTCGTTTTCCTCTTCTCACAGCGCTTGCCTCATTTTCATAGGCTTTATACAGTCACAGAAACTTTCACGCACTGCATTTTGTTTCAGAGTTTGAGGGGAAACAATGACTGAAAACGTGTTAGTTGGAGTGATGAGTGGGATTTATTCTTAGGGTTATGGTCAGAACAGTATATTCAGGACAAACTGGATGATACAGTCAGGAATATAAATTATTAAAATAATATTTGATATATATATATATATAGCCTACTATAACACTTTTTTTTTACACTGTTTAATCTTTACCCTGGTATTAATTCTGTGTATTTCAGAGTTCGTACTCTGCACTCTTAAAAGGTTCTTTATTTGCATCGATGGTTCCATGAAGACCTTTTAACATTCATGGCCTTCCCACTGACTGCACAAAAGCTTCTTTATAGTGGAAAAAGGTTCTTTAGATTATTGATATGTTCTTCACACTTAGAAAAAAAATATTATTTTAAGAACTGTTTACTAGGTTCTTCTTTGGGGAACTGAAAAGCATAAAAAAGATCTGCAAGGTTACAACGCTCAAAGTCCACTCCAAACGGAGATATTTTATTAAACAGAATCCCCTTTTCAAGAACTACAACTCGATGAAGTCATAAGGTTACTCATTTAAATAATTCCCGCCCACGAAATATGCAAAAAAGGGGGACGAGGCATTAGAGAAGACTGTTGTGGCTATGTCAAAGAGACGCTGTTTTGTCCACCCCATTTCCAAAATTTATTTTTTTGACCTTCCTTAGGCTGACGAACTTAGAGTGGTTTAAATTTATTTTAAACACTGTTCCTGAACATTAAAACCCAAATGTTTATCTGTGTGCTGCACATTTTATGGAGAACAGCTTGTTTGCTAGCTTCTGTAATCTCTTATTGTAATCTCTCCTTAGGAAAATTAACCATGGTTTGTATTATCTTAGTTTTCCGACAAATATCACGATTAAATGGTATATGACATCGTTTCTATAATGTATAAGAAAATTACAAAAAACATACCACTCTGAAACGTCCTGTGAAATCCGTTCTTGTAAAGTCTGTGCATGAAATCCGTTCGGCACAGTCCTCTTGTTCGTTACCATTGTCAGGGTCTGAATCGGGCTGGAATTGGATTGAAATTGACGCCATCATTAATATTTACACTAGAGAAGAACTCGCAGTTATGGAGAGGCCAGCTAACCAATCACAGCACATTTCGTATTTCGGAAGGAGGGGCTTCATCGAAATCAGCGTGTTCGAGCCAGACTGGGGAGAGAGGTGCTGTAATAATGCAAAATATGTGAAAAATAATGCGTTTTTTGAACAATCAAGCATGAAAACGAATCGGTTACCTAACGTAACCTCGGTTCTCTCTAGATGAGGGAACGAGTATTGCGTAAGCTAGCTTACGCTGCGGGAAAGATTCATCATTTCTGAGAAATTGAAGCCAAAAAATTATCCTATAATTTTGTATCCATTGTCAACGCAGTTCAGCTGCAGCAGACCATGAGTAGGCTAGCTAGCAGCTCATTGGTTCGCTCACAGAGAACTGCTTAAGCCTATGAGGAGACGCGAATGAACTCTCGGCCAATGAGAGTCTGACCTGCTCTCATTGCGTCAGAGCCCGCCGAAACGGGCGTGGTCAGAGAGTATAAATTCGCCTCTCAGGCTGCAAACTCTGGTTTTCATAGAATGAAGCGAGAACGCTAGTAGCACAAGCACGGCCAGGAACGCAATACTCGTTCCCTCATCTAGAGAGAACCGAGGTTACGTTAGGTAACCGATTCGTTCTCTTACGAGAGGTTCTCTCGTATTGCGTAAGCTAGCTTACGCTGCGGGAACACCTGGTCAACGCCGTGCGTGCTAAGCATCCACTATGAGTCCCAGGGGGGACCCCAGGGAACCCTAATGAGTGGGAATAATATATGAACATGTGACAAAGGCCAGCAGAGCGGGCCGGGGATTGTGAAGTACATAAGCACATGATAGAGAGGGACAGAGCGAAACCGGTCTGAGTGAATAACTCCCTATAGTGCAGCTCAACCAGAAGAGCTGTAACATACTAGACAGCTAGTAGTTTAGCCTGCAAGGCGGGAACTTCCAGATTGTAAAATCTGACAAAGGTGGAGGGGGAAGCCCATCCCGCTGCCACACAAATGTCATGAATGGAAATTCCGCTGGACCACGCCCACGATGAGGCCATGCCTCTAGTGGAATGAGCCCTGATGCCCAGAGGGCATGGCAGGTCTTTTGATGCGTATGCGGCTGCAATGGCATCAACTATCCATCTGGACAGAGTCTGTTTCGAGGCGGCCAACCCTTTGGTGCGCCCACCGAACGAAACAAAAAGCTGCTCAGCTCGTCTGACCGGAGCAGTGCGAGTAAAGTATAATCTCAGGGCCCTGACCGGACACAGGAGATTAGAGTCAGATTCGCTATCGGATGCAGGCAGAGCCGATAGGGAAATAACTTGTGCCCTGAACGGGGTACCAATCGCTTTTGGGACATAACCATGTCTAGGTTTGAGAACGACTAAGGAGTCATTGGGCCCAAACTCCAGACAGGAAGCGCTACTGGACAGCGCGTGAAGGTCTCCCACACGCTTCACTGACGCGAGCGCGAGCAGAAAAATGGTTTTGAGCGAAAGGTATTTGAGGTCCACGGTGTTTAGCGGTTCGAATGGGGGGGCTTTCATAGCTTCGAGAACTATGGAAAGGTCCCAAATCGGCACCGAAGGGGGGCGTGGGGGGTTCATCCTTCTAGCTGCCCTGAGGAAGCGGATGACTAAGCCATCTTTGCCCAGTGACTGGCCGCGCCGGGGTACAGCGAACGCCGCGACGGCTGCCACATACACCTTGAGAGTGGACGGGGACCTGCCCTTGTCCAGCATCTCTTGGAGAAAAACTAGCAAGGAAGGGACCTCGCATGACCGTGGGTCCAAATTTCTGTCGGTGCACCATTTTGAGAACACAGACCATTTAGACGTATAGAGCCTTCTAGTAGAAGCCGCTCTAGCCTGCATGATCGTGTTTAACACTCCCTCTGGCAAAGCAACGGGTAGTCGTTGATCACCCACGCATGAAGCGCCCAGCGCTCTGGGTGGGGATGCCAGATCGTGCCGCGAGCTTGGGAGAGGAGATCTGTTCTGACTGGAATGGGCCACGGGGCTGTCTGTGACAGCTGAGTGAGCTCCGGAAACCAAGTCTGACCCTCCCAACGCGGGGCTATGAGGAGCACCGAGTGGCGTGTTTCCCTGATTCTCTGAAGCACCTGCGGTAGCAGAGAAACCGGAGGGAATGCATAAAGCGGGCGGCTGGGCCAGGTCTGGGCTAGCGCGTCCTCGCTCTTTGAGAAAAATATTGGGCAGTGGGTGTTCTCTTCTGAGGCGAAGAGGTCCACCTCTGCTCTGCCGAATATTCGCCACAGCTTTTGGACTGTAAGAGTGTGCAGGGACCATTCCCCGGGGGGAATGGGGTTCCTGGACAGACTGTCTGGACCGTCGTTCAGATGGCCCGGCACGTGCGTCGCTCTGAGTGAGAGCAGGTGACACTGGGACCAAACTAAGATGCGTTCTGTCAGCCGGAAGAGATTTCTGGATCTGACTCCGCCCTGACGGTTTAGATAGGAGACCACGGCTATATTGTCCGAACGGATCAGCACGTGGTGACCGTGAATGCGCGGAAGAAAGCGCGTGAGCACGTTCTCGACCGCCAGCATCTCCAAACAGTTTATGTGGAGGAGACTCTCCTGAGCTGACCAGGGGCCGAAGGCCGGTGAGCCCTCGCAGACCGCACCCCAACCCGTGTTGGATGCGTCTGTCGAAATGACTTTTCGGCGAGAAAAGGTCCCCATGGAAACGCCCCGCTGAAACCATTCTGCCATGGTCCATGGCTGCAGAGCTGTGATACAGGTCTGCGTTACCTTTATCAGCTGGCGGCCCGTGGTCCACGCGCGGTGAGACACACGGCTCTTCAACCAGAACTGAAGCGGGCGCATGCGCAGTAACCCCAGCTGGAGCACTGCGGAGGCTGAGGCCATGTAACCCAGCGCCTTCTGAAAAGTTTTCAGAGGTGTGAGTCTGTTCATCTGAAAAGATGCGGCGAGACGCTGAACACGGCGCGCGCGCTGTGTAGACAGACGAGCCGTCATCGAGACCGAGTCTAGCTCTATACCCAAGAAGGAGATAGTCTGACTGGGTTGAAGTGCGCTCTTTGTCCAGTTGACAGGGAGGCCCAAACCTTTCAGATGGTCGAGGAGAACTGTACGATGAGACAGTAGCTCTCTCTGTGATTGTGCCAAAATCAGCCAGTCGTCCAAATAGTTCAGTATTCGCAGCCCCTGACTCCGCAGGGGGGCGAGCGCCACATCCATGCACTTCGTGAACGTGCGGGGTGCTAGGGATAGGCCGAACGGAAGGACGGTGTATTGATAAACCTGGCCTTCGAAGGCGAAACGTAAGAATGGCCTGTGAAGGGGATTTATCTGAATCTGAAAGTAAGCATCTTTCAGATCTAGTGAAATGAACCAGTCCCCCTGGCGCACATGCGCGAGGAGTTTTCTGATAGTGAGCATTTTGAACGGTCTCTTCATGAGAACTTTGTTCAGAAATCTGAGGTCTAAGATTGGTCTGAGGCCGCCGTCTTTGGAACCAGAAAATAACGGCCGTAAAACCCCGACTCGCTCATAGATAGAGGAACTCTCTCTATAGCCCTTTTGCACAATAGTTTTGCTATCTCTGAACGGAGCAGAGTCACTGCTTCTGGGTTCACAATAGTTTCTAGCCGCGCTCGGAAACGTGGAGGGCGGCGGTGAAACTGTAAGCGATAGCCTAGCCTTATTGTGTTTAGCACCCACTGGGAAATTCCCGGAATAGCTTCCCACGCTTTGAAGCGTAACGTTAAGGGGTGAATGGCTACATGGTCCCCGTTGCTGCACACAGCGGGCCGCGCGGGCGCGCTCATAGTGTTTATGACAGCGGGACTTACACTCAGAGAGGAGTTTAAGGGCCGTGTAACAGAGTGAGCAGAGGTGGGACGTGCACACGGGCTCGTGGGCGCGCTTATGCACTCTAAAACTCGAGCGGGTTGGAACCGCTTTATGAGAGTGGGCTCTGTGAGACACACGGGAACTGAAATGCTTTTGTGTATGAGTGAACACAGTGTTGTGGGCACATTTTCTACACGTGAGGCTTTTATGCTCTTTTTGACATTTCTCTGGGTCGCCGTGAAAACGGCGTTTTTGCTCATGCAAGCGGGAAAGGGGACCGGCTTGGTAATGGCGGGGTACACTGCTGTAGTAGCCGCGTGAGCGGGGACTAACAGAGGGCGAAACTTTGACGGCGGTCCGGCCTCGGCGGGAGAGCGCCGTCTTTTCCTCAGCTGTGCTAGGCAGACTTTGAGTGATCAGGTTTCAGCGTGATCCTGGACCGAGGCCCCCGGGGAGGCGGCGGTCTGTGGCGGCTGTCAGAGCGAGAACGAGGGCGGCCGCCCTGGCGTCGCTGAGAAGTCTGACTGTGCTGAGCTGGGCGCTGGGGTGGGGCTCGTGCAGGAGGCTGGTCACGTGAGCGGCCTGCAGAGGAGCTAGCGCGACGAGGCAGAAAAAGATTCATGGCCTGGGAGGCTTTCTGCACTTCGGAGAAACGGTCAACGATACCCGTGACAGCAGATCCGAAGAGGCCGGATGGAGAGAGCGGGGCGTTGAGAAAGGCGGCGCGCTCAGAATCTCCCATGTCGGCGAGTGTGAGCCACAAATGTCTTTCAGACACACAAATGGCGGCCATGCATTTCCCCAGGGCTTGAGCAGCAGGTTTTGTAGCGCGAAGGGCAATGTCCGTGGCGCTCCTCAAATCCGCGACTGAGGGGGGATTTTTTCCGCTCTCGTCCCACTCACGCAGTAAATCGCCCTGTAGAATCTGAAGGACGGACATGGAGTGGAGTGCAGAGGCTGCTTGGCCTGCGGCTGAGTAAGCGCGGGCGTGGAAGCTCGAAGTCGCTCTGCAGGCTTTAGAAGGAAGCACAGGTGATGAGCGCCATCTCGTGGAGGGCGGGCATAAATGTGCGGCGACCAGGTCCTCTACAGGGGGAATGGAGAGATAGCCCTTTTCTGCGGCTCCGTCCACAACGCGAAGCGGGGCGGAAGAGTCGGAGCTAGTTCTGGCAGAGAGCGGGGCATTCCAGGACTTCGTGAGTTCCGCGTGCAGTTCAGGCAGGAAGGGCGCGGCCCGTTTAGTGACGGGAGTCGAGCGCTGGCGGAAGTAGCTGCCGTCCATACGGTTGATGGTCTGCTCGGGGGGAGGAGACCAATCGAGCCCGAGGCGTTCGACGGCCTGTGAGAGGAGGCGCACTAATTCCTTCTCGATTCCAGTGCGGGTCCCAGAGGATTCTCGGGCCAAAGAGGCGTGAGAACCGGACCATTCCTCACTGTCTGAAGCGAGAAGCGAACAGGTTTCCTTGATGTCCGCGGCGTCATCGGAGGCGACAGAGCGGCCACTCGGCGGCAACTGTATGTCCGGAAGCGGCGGAGAAGGAGAGCGGGAGACGACAGGCTCCGGCGGAATGAACGCTTCCAGCTGGGGTTCCGGCGGCCTCTGAGAGCGGCGTTTCTTCTTCCGCGGCGAAGTCAGAGGCGGCGCGGAAGCAACTTTAGTGGCCTGAAGTCGAGCCCGCAGGGTCGACAACGGCATCTCCTCGCAGAGATCGCAGCCGCCATCGGCGAGGGCGAGCTCGGCGTGCTCCAATCCGAGACAGAGAGCGCAGATTACGTGGCAGTCTCCAGTCTCGAGGGGAGCGCGGCAAGAACCGCAGGAGGAAATACGAGACATCTTTACAAAGACGCTCGGCTCTTTTAGATACAATACACAATACAAGAAGCTTTTTGGTAAAAAGGATATAAATCCGTCGGATGGCGCTAGCTCGCAGGACGGCTAAAGGTGGCGAAGACGGCCGGGTTCCTCAGTCTCCCAGATGCTCGCTAGAGTTGCCTTTTCGACGACGGCGGCTTCTCTCAGGATCAGCAGATGCGTGTAGCCTCGCTGAAGAGATGAAAATCAGAGTTTGCAGCCTGAGAGGCGAATTTATACTCTCTGACCACGCCCGTTTCGGCGGGCTCTGACGCAATGAGAGCAGGTCAGACTCTCATTGGCCGAGAGTTCATTCGCGTCTCCTCATAGGCTTAAGCAGTTCTCTGTGAGCGAACCAATGAGCTGCTAGCTAGCCTGCTCATGGTCGGCTGCAGCTGAACTGCGTTGACAATGGATACAAAATTATAGGATAATTTTTTGGCTTCAATTTCTCAGAAAAGATGAATCTTTCCCGCAGCGTAAGCTAGCTTACGCAATACGAGAGAACCTCTCGTAAGAGAACATGTTCTAGTACGCCCCAAAAATAAAATCAAGACTTCGTAAAAGGGCATAATAAGACCCCTTTAAATAACATTCTATCTCACTCTTGCGCATCGATTGAATTTATATTCTTGATTGTACCAAGTTTGTCCTGAATACACTGTTCTGACCATAATCGTAAGAATAAAGCACTCTCTTCACTAATTAACATGTTTTCCACCATTGTTTGACATTTTGGTTTTGAAAGCAAAATACAGCACGTGAACGTTTCTGTGACAGTACAAAGTGTTTGAATATTTAATGAAGCAAGCACTGTTCAGTTTGTTGCCAAACAACTGGGCGCCATTTTCTAACACTGCATCATTTCACACCTTTATAGACACATTTATTCACCCTCATGTCGATCCAAACCTGTAAGACCTTTTTCTGCTGTGGAACACAAAAGAGTAGGCCTAAATATTTTGTTTTGATATATTTAGATATTTTAAAGAAGTTTTATTTGGGTAGAAGACTATCCCTTTAAAAGGAGAGGAAATAACCCAGGGTTGAGTTATAATTATAGGAACAGAATTATAGGAATAGAAATCTGCATTTGTCTAGTAACTCACGGGACTGAATCTGAAACCTCTGCCGATGATATCATCATTACCACATATTTGACCACACTGCCCAGGAAATCCATTTCTTAAAAGCGGAACCTTCTATTTATTTCGTAATATTGACAATAAATGATTTGGTGCTGATGTAAAATAATTTTACATTTTAAAACATGATGTTGTTCTTCGTGTTGAAGATGGAAGGAGTGGCATCCTGGCTTCCCTATGAGTATAGATGCCAAAGCCCATTGTGAGCTTCCACGAGACATTCAGTTTGACAGCGAGAAAGGAGTGGACTTTGTGCTCAACTACAGCAAAGCGTAAGATTAATTTCGTTTTCTGGTCTGTTCAGTCAGATCACTGTTATTTACATAAAGGGAACGTCTGTTTGTATTTATGCACATTTGCATGTTTCTTTTAGAACTCTGTTTGTGTTTTGCATGTATCTCTAACAAGGTCTGAATACACATATGCATTGTTTTTGTGGTATTATACATTTGCACAGGCCTCGCCGAAATGTGTTAGCCTGTAGCCATTAGTGTGACTGTTAAAAGGGGGAAATTGCAGATTCAGTAGATTGTGTTGTTGATATAAATAGTTTTGAGAAGTGTCTTTCTCAGTCACAAGCATGTAGCCTACGTGCTTATCACCCATATGCAGACACGCTGACTATTACAACAACAAAACATTTTTCATGCATTAGGTGCAGGAGTTGAGCTCTCTGTTTCAGTATGTGGGTGTGAGAAACTGCCTTGGTAACGCTTGTGAAAACGAAGTGCACTTAATTGTACTGAATGTGCAGTGAAGTTTAATTAAAAAAAAAGACTTTCAGATAAAATAATATCAATGAAATAAAAGTCCACTTGAGAGTATTTAGAGAAAGTACATTTTTATGACTATGTTTCTTAAAGGGATAGTTCTCCCAAAAATGAAAATTCTGTCATCATTTACTCACCCTGAAGTTGTTCCAAACCTGTATGAATTTCTTTCTTCTACTGAACACAAAGGAAGATATTCTGGGTAACCAAACAGTTTATGGACCCCATTGACTTCCATAGTATACAAAATAAAAATAAAAAAATACCATGGAAGTCAATGGGGCCCATCAACTGTTTGATTACCAACATTTTTCAAAATATCTTCTTTTTTTGTTTAGCAGAAGAAAGAAATTTATAAAGGTTTGGAACATCTTGAGGGTGAGTTAATTTTCATTTTTGGGAGAACTATCCCTTTAAGAAACGTAGTCATAAAAATGTGCTTTCTCTAAATACTCTCAAGTGGACTTTTATTTCATTGATAGTATTTTATCTGAAAGTCTATTTTTTTTTTAAATTACACCACTGCACAATCAGTACAATTAAGTGAACTTCGTTTTCACAAGCGTTACCAAGGCAGTTTCTCACACCCACATACTGAACATACGTACACATACATGACATTAAAGTATATTTTTTGTTTAACATAAATACTTAGTCAGTACATTCTGAACTATATTTCAAAGACAATAGAAGTGTGAAATTACATATAAAGATGGGTCAAAAACTAATTGCATTTAATACAATTTAAACTATAATACATTTGCAAAATTGCAAATAACATGCAATGAAGTGTACTCTTTTAAAAGTGCACTTCTTTTTCACAAGGGTAGACTATCCAAAATCCTGTGTCAAAATTGAAAATGGCATAAAATTGGCCTAATATTAATTTACTCAACTAGCTCAAAATTTCTCAAAATAATATCACCAAATACTGTATCTCTCTTTATATATCATTGCAATATATATAATGCAATATAATATATCATTGCCCATGTGTAATGCGTTTTTATATTTGGCTGTGTTCTATTCCTTAGGATCGAGAATCTTTACGTAAACCAGTTCATGCACATGTTCCAGTCCTCATGGGGAGATTTTGCAGACTTTGAGCGTATATTCATGAGAATTAAGAACACAATATCAGGTTTGGACCGTCAGTTATTAACATTTATTTAATGATCTGTTGAACATTTGCACATGACACACAATTATCCAGCTCACAAACACTTTCATCTCTTATCATGCATGAATCACCTATTGGGAATTTGCAGCACTGCTGTTTGTTTACTCATTAATAACTGTTAAATACCTAGAGTACAATATTTATATAGTTTTTGTGTTAGGTTTAATACTCTTTATAATTTAGAATAATATACCAAATAGTTCTGAGTGACAATTTTAAAGCACACAGCTGTTCAAAATGTCTTTTTTGAGATACGAATGTGTATAATTTATCTAAGGTAAAAGTATCTTCAGGTATATATTAACCACAAACACTATTTTATTTGCACAGAGTATGTGATGCAGCATTGGAAGGAAGATTTCATGTTTGGATACCAGTTCTTGAATGGCTGTAACCCAGTGGTCATCAGGAAATGCACAGAAATTCCCGCCAAGTTTCCAGTCACACAAAAGATTCTGGAGAACAGTCTGGAGAGAGGTCTCACGCTGGAAGAAGAGCTCAAGGTATGCAACACACATGAGCCATTCACAGGTTGTGTCGATTCAACATGGAACAACCAACGTGATAGTGCATGGTTTTAGTACAAGTTCATGTCTTGCTTTTCAGGAAGGAAACATCTTTATTGCTGACTATGAGTTATTAGATGGTGTTACTGCCAATGCTACGGACCCATGCACTCTTCAATACTTGGCTGCACCCATCTGTCTTCTGTATAAGAACATTCAGAACAAAATCATGCCAATTGCCATCCAGGTATCTACACTTAAACACAAGCACATATGCTGGAAACATACCAGCCAGTTTTCACAGCACAATGCGTGATAAGATCATTTCAGCTTCTGCATTTCTTTTCTCACACTCTTTTGCTACCGTTTGAAATTAGACAAACTGTTCAGTTAGTAGATGCTTTTGTCAAAAGTGATTTAAAACAGGACGAATACATGCAATTTAACATAAAGCGGACAAATGTTTTATTGAAAAACAGCTATAAAAAACTCTCTATTTCACTTTTTCTCTCAAAGAATGAAAACAGTTTTAGTGATGAAAAACACAATGAACACTAGGCTTAAGCCTAGCCCTAGACTAAAATGCATGTTTGAGCTATTTTAACTCGAAGCAACTTGCACTGGCTTATGTCAGAGCCAAAGTTTTGTCTCAAGATGCACACCAGTAATGTTTTTGCACACAAGCATGTTTATAAAAGCTACTTAAATATCCTAACTGAACTAAGGCCTAATCCTGGCTTAATCTAAGTGCTGTCTGTGAAACCAGGCCTATATGTGATACACTCTTCATTGATAAAATGGCTTTTATCAGTAGGTATACATTGCTTTTTGCAAAAATACATAGCAATAAATGTTGACAGAAGATGGAATAAGAAATGGCTTAAATACATGTTTGTGGTGGGACGCGGGAGGAAACAGGGGCGGGTTTTCACACGCCGTTTTTTAGACTGTCTTCAGCAGATAAAATACTCAACAATGGTCTTAACTGATGAATTTGCTTAAAGCATATTAAAAACACATAGACATTTAAACAACATTTAAAACTTGATTTTCACCATAGGAGTCTTTATAAAATGATTAATGATTATTAAGTTTTTAGTGCCACATGATCCTTCAGCAATGATTGTAATGTGCTGATTTGGTGCTTAAGAAACATTTCTAATTATTATCAATGTTGAAAACAGTTTTGCTGCGTAACATTTTGTGGTGGCAACCGTGATACTTTTTTCAAAAAAAATTACAGGAAGTTTGTGGGTGATGGGTGGGGGAGGGGGGGATGAGAATATGGTAATTGTAACTGTCAAGCACCAAAATCACATTCAAATAGACCACATGGTGTATGCCAGGGTTCCTCAAATCCGGCTCTAGAGGGCCACTGTCCTGCAGAGTTTAGCTCCAACTCTAATCAAAGAAACCTAAACAAGCTAATCAAGGTAATTACAGCTAGGTGAGTTTGAGCAGGGTTTGAGCTAAACTCTGCAGGGCAGTGGCCCTCTAGGGCTGGATTTGAGGAACCCTGGTGTATGCGCTACATATACAAGTTTTCTGAATTTTCATAGCTTTGTGCAAGGTAAATAGGGAAGGAAGTCATGCAAGTCATATATTGATTTTATTTGTCATATATTGAGTGAATGGAATATGAGAAATAGTGAAGTCTCACATGCACACCCTTGCACAATTTGAAAACCATGGCTTATACGATTGTCTATCAAATGACTTTTGAAAATGACCTCTTGTTCATTTGGATAGCTGGATCAGACACCAGGAGAGGATAATCCCATCTTCCTTCCAACTGATGATGAGTATGACTGGTTGATGGCCAAGATCTGGGTGAGATCTTCAGACTTCCACATACACCAGACAGTCACACATCTTCTCAGGACACATCTGATATCTGAGGTCTTTGGCATAGCCATGTTCAGACAACTGCCGGCAGTTCATCCTGTTTTTAAGGTAATTCCTTGTTCTCTCTATGGAATTTATTCTATAACATTGGTTTGAATGTTTATGCATGGTTGATGATACATTCTAAAGGCATCTTCTGCTCTTCCAGTTGCTGGTACCACACATCCGTTTTACAATTGCCATTAACACCAAGGCTCGTGAGCAGCTAATCTGTGAGTGTGGACTTTTTGACAAGGTTAGTTTCTCTCTTTCTCCACAGTTCACTTCCTCCATAAGCAAACTCTGTCTAGAATGTTCTCTATATGGGCCAGATTTACTAACAGCTTACAGCAGCGTCTTTTTGCATTAAAAATGCCTCTTTTGCCTGTCAGGATTTACTAAAGAGTAAAAACACGCAGTAAAGAATTTGTGCAGAAAAGGCGTGGGCACAGTTATTTTTGTGGCTGACATTATTGCAAATGCATTTGTAGGAGTTTCCCTTTCAGGCGCAAAATTTATGGGAGGAGAGTATTTAATTGAATCAGGCAAGGTGGTTTACTAAGGTTTGCGCTAGTCAATTTACTGGTATTTGCAACATTATTTAATGCCTTAAACCAGACGCTAATTTGCGCTGCTCTTCACGTAGAAAAGTTATGTGACCTAGCCGCTGGTAGGTCACATAACAATGACAACATGACGAATGTAATAAGTCTGATTTAGTAGGCCTACGTACTTTGTGAGTATGTGATTTCGGAGAAAGCCAGTGTTGTTGAACGAATTGGTTGATTCAATAACTCACTCATTGTTCCTGAAAGAATCAGTATGTTTAAACAAATCAGCTGAGTAAATGATTCATTGATTCACTCATAAAGACAGTCACTTCTCGCTACCTACTGGTATAATTATGTAACATGCAGAAAGAGTGACTGAAAACATTGCATACTCTCTTGAGTAGGTACTTATTTTGAATAACTAAGTACTCCACGACCGCTTAAAAAGTATGTTCTATATAGTATGAATGTGTGTAGTATGAATGTAATCTGGACGAACTACATTCGCCATGCTGTCATTATCATGTGACCTACCTGCGACTGCGTAAGTTACGTCGCTTCACTCCCATTCATAAATCCTCTCACGGAAGAAGTAGGTCATCTGGGTACTTTTTGCCTAGATGTTTATGAGTTCTGTGAATTCGGACATACTTCTTTTGTCACATACAGTTTTGCGCCTACTATAAAGTAGGGAAGTATGCGATTTGGGATGTAACCTTACAGTCTGAATACGCATAAACACATACTCTTAAAAATAAAGGTTCTAAATGAGGGTTTTCGCAGTGATGCCATAGAAGAACCATTCTGTTCTCCAAAGAACATTTCAGCGATCAGTTCTTAAAAGAACCATGTTTTTTCTTAATGTGATGAACATTTTATTAATCTTTAGAACTTTTTCTGTACTCTATCTCTGTGTGTGTATTACAGGCTAATGGGACAGGTGGAGGTGGCCACGTAGAAATGGTCCAGAGGTCCATGAAAACCTTCACATACAAGTCCTTGTGTTTCCCAGAAGCCATAAAAGAACGAGGCATGGACAGCCAGGAGGAACTGCCCTACTACTTCTACAGAGATGATGGCTGCGGGGTCTGGGAGGCTGTGACAAGGTACGTTACATAGCTGGTAAAAAGAAGAATAAACATTCAGTTGTAAAAAGGAATGAAAAATACTTAACTAAAACTTGTTTTTTGTTTAGTAATTTGATATTGATTTGCTCTCTTTCTAGTTTTGTGACAGATGTAGTGAACATCTACTATGACAAAGATGAGACAGTTCAGGGTGATGAAGAGATCCAGGCATTTGTGAAAGATGTTTGCAGTTTTGGAATGCAAGATTTTGACCAATGTGGTAAATATATTCTTAAAACAAATTCAAAAATTGCATGATGCAAAGGGAGTACACTTGAGTATACCTTTATAAAGAGTACTTTTTATAGAAAGAATATACTTACTGTTAGTGGGAACTGAATATAATGTTGTCAGACAAGTGTACACTCTTTAAGTATACTTAAGTGGCCTTTATTTCATTTACATTATATTATCTGCACATACATTTTTAAAAACAATATTTGACTTCAAATAAATTTGAAGCCCACAAGTGCACATTCAATACATTTAACACTTTCCCAAGGGTGAGTATGTTTTTTATATACTGTATAATAATAAGACAGTCTGATGTTAAAGGGTTAGTTCACTCAAAAAATGAAAATTCTGTCATTAATTACTCACCCTCATGTCGTTCCAAACCAGTAAGACTTTTGTTCATCTTAGAAAAACAACTTAAGATATTTTTGATGAAACCTCCATTGACAGCTATGCAACTACCACTTCAAAAAGTTCTTAAAGAGATCGTAAAACTAATCCATATGAACTGAGCGGTTTAGTTAAAAATTTCTGAAAATGAACAAAAGTCTTGAGGGTTTGGAGTGACATGAGGGTGAGTATATGACAGAGTTTTCATTTTTGGGTAAACTATCCCTTTAAATGGCTTTCTTAAGAGTATACTGGTGAATGAATATGTGTAATCATCAGTAACTTTCAAGTTCTGAACCACATCTTTTAGTTAGCAAATATTTAACTTATAACTAGTTATAGGGCTACTGGCCTTCAATTTCCGGCCTGAGTGTATTATGTAAATGTGTCTGACCTCTGAATGAACCCTATATTGATGACAAGTTGTCATTGTTTGCAGAGTTTCCCAAGAGTTTACAAACCAAAGAGCAGCTAGTGGAGTATCTAACTATCGTCATGTTCACTGCTTCTGCACAACATGCCGCAGTAAACTTCGGCCAGGTGACATTACACACTATGATGTTTCTGGCATATTTTGTTGTAAAGTGAAACGAACAGCAAAACTAATATCCATGTTCTGACTCTTTACTCCAGTTTGACTGGTGTTCATGGATTCCAAATTCCCCCCCAACCATGCGAAAACCTCCTCCTACAAAGAAGGGCGAGGTGGATATGAAGTACATAGTGGAGAGTCTGCCTGATCGAGGACGCTCCTGCTGGCATCTGGGCGCTGTGTGGGCCCTCAGTCAGTTTCAAGAAAATGAGGTATGAAATAAGTGCATATCTACATGAATACACACAAGCTCAGATGTGCTATGTGAACAATGACAGATTCTGAAATTTATGATTTTTGCAGCTGTTTCTAGGTATGTATCCAGATGAACACTTCATCGAGAAACCTGTGAAAGAGGCGATGGTGAAATTCCGCAAGAAACTTGGAGAAGTGACCAAAGCCGTCAAGAGCCGAAATGAGGGGAAGAAGCTGCCTTACTACTATCTGTCTCCAGAAAGAATCCCAAACAGTGTGGCTGTGTGATTCACCAGTCACACAGAACCATGCAGACGTGTCATGCTAGTAGTAAAAAGTGTTTTATCAGAGTGTTTTATGGGATTTAAAAAAAAAGAAGAAACATTTTTATATATATATCAAGGTCGCTATGTGTAATGTAAGAGAAGTTTCGTAATAATAAGAAAATATGCATTAACAAAGTTGTAGCCAGAATTGATTTTATCTTAATGTCAGCCATTTGCTATGTTTTTTGGGGTTTTTTTTACGGTTTATTTTACCCATATGCATATTTAAGCAACATTTTCTTCATTCTTGATCATCACAGGGGGAACTTCTTGAGTTTAAAACAGCTTGTTTGTTTGAAAATTGTGTGTAACAGATTAAGGTAACACTTTATTTTAGTGTCATTGTTATATATGTTACATGTAGTTACTATAGTAATACCGTAACTATAAATTATGCATAATTACATGCAATTAACCCTAAACCAAACAAAACCCTATGTACATGTTACTTAATATTACTCAGTACTTAAATGTATTATTACAGTGTAACAAGGACACATTAAAATAAAGTGTAACCCAGATTAATTGTATCTTTTTTATTTCAAGATTGATTGTTTACTTTTAAAGTCATGAATATCTACTAGTTAATACTCTATTGGATAAAATTGAGAGACACATAAGCTTTGATGAGTCTGGATAAATTGTCTTTTGTGAATAAATGGGCAGTTTGTTTTACAATATAGTTCTGTCATGTTGTCACTGGTTATGTATTAAAGCCAAATTATATCAGGTCACTAGGATTAATTTTCTTTTTTTTTTAGTTTTTCTTAAAGTTATTTACTTCAGTTTGGTTAATGAGAAGAGAAAAAAATCCCACTTTGCACATTTTACCTCCGGAGCCATCGAGCCTACACCATTTCAGCATTTAGCAATTGCAGGAGGTTATTGCAGAATTTATTGGTTCCGTATTTTGCATAGTAAAGATAGAATTCAGCACCGGGTTTGTATTCATACTTGTAAATAAATAGCCTACATAAGCAGGCTTATCATGTCCAGTAGCATCACATCCCCCCCCCCCCCCCCCCCCCACACACACACATTTATTTATATAGCCTTTTTCACAATACATAGTTTCAAAGCAGCTTTACAGAAAATGCATGTGTCTACATACAATTTACAGTGTTTGTAACAGTTTAATAACAGTGTAATCTTTTATCAGAGGTGACTGTGTCCAAGTACAAAAGTACAAATCACTCAGTCAGCTATCAATGTATAAATTTAAGGCAGAAACAATGAGCTCATCATTACTACAAGTTGTGAACATAATGATTACAATATTTTGAAATTTATCATTGGTGAATGTTGATTCAGAGTTTGTGTCATCTGTAGTCCTTGCAGTCATCTCTTCACAGGAGTGACCCAATAGTGGTCAGCACAGGGAGTGACCAAAAAGTGGAAGTTCTTAGAGCACTGATGGGGACAATATTACACAACATCTGCTCAACCCTGTAGTTTTTACGAGGGAGTAAGATTTAAAAATAATCCACAGGATTGGATGATCCCTACTAAAAAATATTTTCAAGATGTGTTTTGCAACATAGTCAAACAGCTAACAATCATCTCCTGCAGGGTTTGCATTCACTTTTAAGATTTTATTGATTCAGAATCAGCCTTTTCTCAATTTTTTTTTGACATTTTATGGTTTACAAGACTTATCCACATAGTATATTTTATGCTTCTATTTTTGCCAAAAGATTACATTCACCCATTCATGATAAGCCGTTAAAAATGGCATGTTTTCATGCTTTCAGGACGTGCTGCATTGAGATCGGTTTAAGTTCGCTTCGTGAAACGCTATTGGCTATGCTGAATTCACGCGCATCAGAAGCTGTTCTCAGATCAGAGGGACTCTAGCGTGGGTGCCGCGCGCCTCCATTCGCGCCTCTGTCAGGTGACTAGAATCAGCTGATTCTCTGCAGACGGAACATGGCCGACCTCTCAAAACACTGAACTGATGATGGGACGAATGACAGCGCTAAGCTGCCCTTGACTTCTCTCACTGCTGGATTTGTGAGATTTTGAGGTGAAGGAAAACACTACAGAATATATTTTACCACAGTACATATATAATGTAAATCAGTGCGTCAAATGAAATCAGCAGAGATTCAGGCTATAAGTTGCTAGCACAGCAGCTAGCCTTGCATGACAGCAGTTAGAGCAATCACATAAATGCATAAAGGAGCAAAATAACAGATAATTAAGGATCAAAAGTGCATTCAGGTGTATGTTCTTATATTTCTAACCGTTTAAGATTTGAAGAAGAACGAGATTATCGCTTCTGCATATGCTGATTTTTCATTGACACAGTTATAACATTTTAACTTCTGAAAGTTTCCTCAGAATTGTAATTTGAGAGATAAGTATGGTTTTTACTTTACACTGTAACGTTATATCATTTGTTAGATAAATATAAAAATGTCTAACGTTAGCTTTAAACAAATAGCAGCTAAGCGTTCATCAGCCCCTTGTAAAAAAGAAGTACACTTTATAATATCAAAAACGAGTAGCCTACTTATTATGGAAATAATATACTTGAAAAGAATACTTACGTAGGAGGACACCTAATTGCATGCAATTTACAAATACATAAAAAGGTGTTTTACATTTAGTCTAATGACCTTAGTGTGCTTTTTGGCCTGCTGAAGGAACGATTAAGTAGCTAGGCTACATCATCATTTGTAGTTTCATAGTTTTTTCTATTGTATTGGAAATATGGTTAAAGTGTACTGCCGAATTTAATGACAAGCATTTATGGTAAACTAATATAATCTTTAATTTAACTTTTACTGAAACTTTTTTTTGTTATGTATTTTAAATATATTTACAATTACACGTTTGAAATGTAGTACATTTAAAATCTATGTAATGTCAATTAACACAGTAAAATGAATTATAATTAAGTATTTTACATAAGCTTTAATATGTTAGTTAACACAAAGAAGTGTATGTTAGTCATTAAAAAGAATTGTACTTCTTTAAAGCACAACAAAACCATTATTAAAATGAAACGTTTAGTTTGACATTATTACAAAAAGGTGGAAGACACGGTCATGAAAGTGTACTTTCAGAGCACTTAAGAGTTTCATTAATATATTATCTGAAAGTTTGTTTTTTAATAATATTCTTTTAAGATTTATAGTCCACCATCATTATGTGGACTTCTTATTCACAAGGGACAGTGATGAGTCCTATATAAGTCATAATGTCCATTGCATCAGAGATATATTCAAGTAAAACTTATCTTATACAGATTCAACCAGCATGTCTAATTTTATGGAGAATGGCCCCAGTAATCATAATGGGGAGGCTGAGCAGGTGTGGGAGAGACCCTGGACAGTGGAAGAGATGCAGAAATCCAGTACAAACTGGTCACTGGCTGCAGATTCAGGGGTATGGAGTGGAATGCATTCATATTTCATATTCATATTGTTTATGCTTGCTGCCACTTTGTACAGATGGTTTAGAGTGAATGTTTGTTTGTATCTCTGCAGTTATTTCTTTTTCTGCAAGACTTCTCTCAAAGGATGCTGTCCAAGACACATGAGATTGAGAAGCAGTTGGATGGTCTTATCCGGGACACTAAAGCCACAGACAGCCGCCTGCATACAGTGTTTAATGACTTCCTCATGCTGTCCAACACACAGTTCATTGAAAACGTATGTACTTTTTTTCATGATTTTAGCTAAATGAGAATTCACTTTGTATGTGGATGCAAAGCAAAGTAGTTTCACAAACTGAAATATCACACTTGTCCTGAGAAAATATGTGGGAGAGTTTGTCAGCTTATGATATTTATACATTTCCAACGTTCCTCCCTTGAGACTCAAAATGGCCCAACTGTGAATTCTTTATTCAGCATTTTTCTTAGCTCATGTCGGTGAGATTGTGAAATTTGATAAAGAACAATAAGAGTGTAAGCACACACAAACCCTGTTTTTTATCTTCTTTTTAAAAAAAATTTTTTTTTACTCAGAGGGTTTATGATGAAGAGGTGGAAGACCCTGGACCAAAGCCAGAAACCATGGAGAGACCGCCTGAACAGGTACTGTTTGGGGACGTTGCTCTGGTTATTTCTGCTGTGGACCATTGCTATGATTTCATATTATGTATTATTTTGAAAACCTCTCTGACAATGGTTTCAAGCATTCCAACCATTTCATACACATGTAAAGGAGAAGACAAGGGAACAGAAGGAAGCAGAACTTATTCCCAAAGTCCAAGAGGCCGTCAACTATGGCCTGAAAGTCCTGGAATCTGCTTTCGAACAGCTCGACATTAAAGCAGGAAACTCGGACTCTGAGGATGAGGAGGCTCTGGAAAAAGTAGAGCCCATTTTGGAAGCAAAGGTGAAGTGTTTCCTTAGAGCCCTTGAGCACGCACTTGATTATTATTACACATGTAATTAGTGGTGTTTGGATTAGTGATGTACAGATTAGTGAAATCCCAAAGACTCACTTTGAAAGAGCAACTTCAGTCTTTACCAGTCCTAAAGTTGGCATGAAACGGAAGTAAGTGCAATAGTCTTTTCTTCCCTATTGTGACATACTGCATAGCTGAGTGAAACAGCTTCTCAAACAAGTGAAAATGTAGTGCAGGACTTGAATTTGTCTATCTGGAATTGATTGGATGGTTGTGGTTTGCTATTGCTGTGATGTCATGTGAGTGACATGTTGTCCCGCCCTTGCGCAAATAAACATGGGAAGTTCATTTTATTAAAGATTCCAAGGGTACATGAATAAAAAAACATAGTGATGTGGACTGATAAATAATTTATAATAAATAATGCAGTATTCCATACAAAAATGTAATGGTCACTTTTGATTTCATGGTGATTTTAAGGTTTTGACCCTAAATGTGTTTTATTGGTAGGACCTGTATGTGGACAGGCCTTTGCCTTACTTGATTGGCTCCCAAGCCTTTATGGATCAGGAGGATGTTGGCCTGGGAGATCTATCCAGTGATGGTGACATTTCCCATTCATAATCTTTAGTAGTTTTATTGTTGTTGTTGTAGGTTGCTTTTAACTTCGTTTGTTTGCTGTGTTTTTTTAGAAATGTCTGTCGGTAGTGACAGAGACAGCGTCATTGAGAGTGATATTGAAGAAGGTGATGAGGTGAGAGAGAATAATATATATAGTTCACATACATTTACATGAATTGCAACATTAGCATTTAATGAACATTGGCCGAGATACATTTTCTTAACATATTTTATTTATTGAATAAATATTCTATTTTCAAAAACATTATAACCAAATTTTTTGACAACATTACATAAATAAATAAAACACACATATTTATATGTAATCCTCAATTTGGATTCTATTCCAAAAGCACTCAGATGAATATTCTGACCAGGA